AAAGCCCAAAGATGCACGGCATTAAATTTTGAATTTAAATTAAAGTTTAAATTATTTAAAGTTAAAGAAAAAATATAAAAAAAATATATAAAGTATATATAATTATTTAAGATTATTTTATAAAATAAAATATATATATTTTTGTTTAAAGCTTTAAAGTTATTAGATAAAATAATAAACAAACTACTAACTTTTTTTTGGTTTTAGTTTAAATAATTATAATTAAAATTTAAAAATCATAAACAATTTTTTGCAGTGCACTTGAAAGCACAAACTGAACCTCAAACCTACAAAAAAAAAAAAACAGGACACTTCTACCTTAAACGAAAGGATGTGGAGAACTGGAAGGAATATTTTCGGAAAATCAAGCGCGGCGATCCATTTCTCTCAGGATTTTCCATCAAAAAGTCAGAAATTAAATATAAATTGAATTAGTTTGCAAAAAAAACCAATCCCAAAATGGAACGAAAGCCATAATACATTAATTTTAGACTTTAAACAAATACAAAAATAAGCAGAACTTTGAAGAATTGGAATATATTTCTTACAGAATTTTTAAACCCAACTGTAAGCTCTATTTTAGGTCTTAAAGAAAAGTACTATATTTTAATTAGACCAACAAAAAAAAAATACCATAAATACTAAATTGTTGGAAAAAAAGACCAAAATCATAAATATGGCAAATGGCAAAAATCGGCTTAAGGTTTTCAGTTGACTTTCAGCCACCAGCGACGACGATCACCACCCACTTAAAAAAAATACAAAAAAAAAAGTCTATCCCCCACCCAGTACCCCCAACACCCCGCTGGTAAGTGCCTCCCATTGGAGACATAAACAAAAAAAATGAGGCACCTCGCCTTTGGACTCGAGTGTTGTGTTTGTGTTTATAACCAAACTGGAGCCAAGTCAACGGATCCCCTCTCTCCAAGAGACAAAATCCGAATACCAAAAAAAGTAAAAATAGCTTTGTCTATAGAATATTCTTATCACTGGACGGTCAGGTACTGTGTTGCTTCTTCCAGGAGCAGATCCTGGCCAAGTCGTTGGTCCTTCAACGGCAAGACTTAAGCCGCTTTTCCCATGCATGGTAAGAGGGAAATCGGGCTAAGCCACAGCTGCTGGCTTTTAAATTGTAGCCTCACTAATACAGTGAGGGAAATTAAAGAGGAAAAATGAATTTTATGAAAAAAATAAGCCTTTTTTTTAAGCCAGAAGAGGTAGAGGTCATTTCATAACAAAAACTAGATTCTAGACTAGATAGCTTTTTCTTTTAATTATTCACATAATCCATCATAAATTTCCACAAAAAATGTCTTTAAAATTTAATATTTAAAATTGAAAATTAGCCTTTAAGTTAATCTCCAGTGTATGACAAAAAAAAAAGGTCCTGCCAGGCTATGTAGAATCCTGGCTTGTATTGATTGGGGAAGCCAGTGGGAAAGCCTGGGAACGAACAGCCACGACTGTCACCTGCGACTTATGCAAATCAGAAAACGACCAACCATTCAACCAACCATCCAACCAACCAACCATCTAACCAACCGAGCAACAAAACCGTCCAAACCAAACCGTCCCAACGACCAAACAGCTGAAAATAATTATCCACATTTCCGTTACAAATAAAAACCAATTCACTTTGCTAATATGGCCACATACAGCCAAGTCTCATCCGGAATGGCATAGTCGATGGGTAAAAGTTCAAGGGGAGGGAGGGTGATCCCTGGGCCCTGGACTCTAAAGAATTCAAGCTATAGGCTGCGTAAAAAGTTCATACACGCAATGCCATAATTTTGTTGCACTGTGTTTGTCGCTAAACGGCAAAAAAAAAAAAGTAGAAAAAAAAACCTAAAAGTCGTTTGGAATTTGAATGCGTTTTGAAATGTAATATCCTCTAGGGTTCTTTTATTAATTTCAGTTTTTGTTTTGCTCATTTTTTTTTTCAAGCTTAGAGCTGTCATTGGAGCTTAATTAAATTCATAAACATTAACAAATAATGATAATGAATGATATAATGTTTGTTATTTGATAATTTTAAGGTAATTAAAAAGGGGAAAAAAGTTTAAAAAAGAAAGGCTACTCTTAGGAAGGTTTTTGTTTTAAAATGAACATTTTTATAACAGTTTTTTATGATTTAAGTAAGCTTTAAGTGATATTTAATATAGTTATATTTATAATAATTATTATTTGAATTCTAGGATCTGTTGAAGACTTTGAAGTATTTTAAAGTTAGTTAAAAAATTCTTCTTTTAATTCTTACTTGCTCCTCTAAATTCTCTATACCTATTGAAGTCATATTTTTTTCTAGAAAGAGTATCCCTCATGTTTGCTGACTATCCGTAGCATTTTGTTTTCGTAATACTCGTATTTCCCTAAGCTACCGCTTACCAGAGTCGGTCTCCCTGATGTTTTTGCATTTGTTTGGCTGTCATTTAGTCCCTTTTGGCATTCAGTCATTCCGTCATTTAGTCAGTCAGTCAGTCAGTGAGTAAGGCCGTCAAGTTGGACGAGCAGTCGCATTTGCAACTCGCGCTGGAAAATGCCTTGCAACTCGTCATTGTCGTTGTTGCACCACCACACAGAGTATAGAGTTGGATGGATAGTGGGTGGTATGGGTAGTTGGGTGTACAATGGCACTGGGTACCCCTTCGTGTTGCTGGCATTGTCAATGCTTTCGACTTCCTTCCGCTGTGGCTAACAAATTCGAGCCGCGCATGCAGGCCAGGCAAACATAATCATCATTATTGCTGCAATCAGCATATTTGGCAGGCTTAAAGTCACTCCTCGTTGTCCTGCGGGAAAAACACGGAAGCATTCTACATTCTAGGACCCCCTTCTCCCCTTTTCCTGCTACTCATCCTCTACTCTGACCCTCCAATGGAGAGTCTTCGTTTAGTTGTGTGGTTATGCTTAATATCCGTCATCAAAATTGTTGTTGTTTTTACTGCAGCACCAGAAAGCACCCAGGGAGCTGCTGCATATAGCCACAAAAGCAAATGCACTTGAACAAAATTTTAAGGATTTAATTTTAAAGATACATTTTAAGGTGAAAATCTTAAAGGTAGCGACAGAGCGTCTTGAAGACTTGGATAATCTTGTTTTATTTACTTACTTATTATTTTTTATATTTTTTTATTATTTCAGTCTTTAAAATATAATTCTTCTTTACTTTTTTATATTTTTAAGACAGTTTCTTCTTTGTGGAATGACTATTATTAAAGAATTTATTAATTAAAGCTAGATAGGGGTTGCTAGGTACGAAGTACTAGATACTAAAATACTAAAATAAAGCCAACTAATTATACCTACTAATACTAATAATATTTTCGAAGGTATAAGAATAGAATTATTAAAAAGAAACTTAAGAAGATCCTTACTTAAGAACTTAAGAACTAGGAAGTATTTAATAATATTCCATATTAATACTATATTTAATAACATTCTCATATATTTCTTATAAAAAAAAACGTTATACCCTCTAGGCCACTTTAGAACACTTTATACCCCTCTTTAGGCTACCTAAAACTATTTTTTATTATATTCTCAATTATCATTTAATATACAACCAAACACCCCTTTTATCGCTTAGTGCATTGTCAGCCTCGAACATAAAGCCTACCGGCCAAGGTAAGTGCGTGGGTTGACCCCTGACCCCACTGACTTCCACCCACTGGGTTGCAAACTGAACTGCATGTTGCAAAAAGCAACCCAAAACCCAAACCCAAAAACCATAACCCGAGTCAAGCCCCAACGTGAACTCTCAACCCGAACCCGAACCCCAAAACGCCGAACCAAAATCGAGCCAATACACAGGCATTATGCAAATATTAAATATATTGCTCAGTGCATGGCGCGATAAGAATCCATTGCGCAAAAATTAATTAGTCAATTTGCATGAAATTTATGGACAAAGCGCGAACAAACGAAACTGAGACCAAAACCATACCAAAAATTGAGCTAAAATGGCGCTTAAATGCCGCTTAAAGGCTAACCCTTTACTAGCCACAAAATTTTCGATAGAAAATTGCAAAATCTTAACAATAATCTGAATTTTTTTAAACATAGTAATCTCTTTCAAGACTATCATGCCTGTGTCAGATTTGTAAGGTTCATTGTAACGATTGATTTTGTGAAAGTAACATCTAGAGAGCAAAAAAAAAATATATACATATTTTATTATTTGGAAAATATAATTCATTTTAAGAGAAAGTTGAATTATAAAAGAAATAACTAAATCTTTAAAACGCGTGTGGGATAACAAAATTTACTTTGGTTCTTTGTTCGGTTGGTTCTTATAATAGAGCTTAGTGCTCAAGTTTTTACTCAAAATATAACAAATTTGGTAAGTTTTGCTTAAGATTTTCGTTTTTTTACATAAAAAGTTGTAAGCCTTGAAGAAAAAATTCCTAAATTTAATAAAAGCAGAAGGTTACAAAGGTATTTGAAGACTCTGAGGCTTCTCAAGTTTCTTAAGAAAATTAGATTCAGTTATTTTCAAAATTTATTTCAAAGCTGTGAAAAATTATACTATTATAATTAAATTTAGTATTCAATATTTAATAATTTTTTTTTTGTATATTTGTTTCATTTTTTCTGAAATTAATGAATTGAATTCTGAAATTCTGAATTTTTAACCAAAATTCCATTCATTTCGTAACTTTTATTTACGAAAAAAAAACTGACAGTAAGTTCACTGCCTAGAGAAGAAATATTTTTCTAAGAGCTACTGAATTTTAGAATAAATTTTTTAATATTTTTAAGATTTGAATATTTTTCTCGATAAACTCCCTTTATAGATTTGCGTTTCGTGGTCCTCTGGAAGGACAACAACTTGACACTATTTACACTTGAAGGACTTGGTATAACAAGCTCTAATAGGTAAGTTTTTCAATGGATTTTCCTTAGTAATATTTTAAGAAACTTCCCACAAAACTACAAAGCCAAGCCAGAGCTGTCAAACTTCTAACTGAAATTCTAACATTTAAAAAATTTTCATTAGAAAATCATCATCCAAACAATGTCCTCGCACTGGGACGTTAGCTGTGATGGCTGCGACTGCGCCCATTTGGTTCACTATCGCTACAAGTGCCTTCGCTGTCCCGACTTTGATCTTTGCAAGGAATGTCACGAGAACGGAGTGGCAACCGGCGACCATCGGCGGGATCATCCGTTCCAATGTCTGCTCGATCGCGAGGCCATGGAACTGCACTTTGCCGGCGAACCGATGCCGACCCTATGCGCTGATAGCTTCACGTGCCCGGTGTGCGGCCTGTTGGGTCTCTCCTCGTCAGAGTTGGTGGACCATGTGAATGAACTACATCGCTTGGATCGCACTACGGTGATATGTCCGCTCTGCGTGGCCCAGCCGGATGGCCATCCGGATCGTCTCGATAATCTGGCCGGGCACTTGGCGTTGATGCATTCGGCGACCGTCCAGAGCGCCCAAAACACTTCGCCGGGCGTCGAGGATCCGCCCCGTCTGGTAAGAACTGCGGCCGGCGGCGGGGAAGGCGGCAGCGTCTTGCGTTCCGCCGGAGACGGTGTTGTTAATGGAGGTGTTCGTTTTGGTGCCGGAGCGGGAAGAGGAATCCCTTTTGGTTCCGTAGGAGGCCTAGGATCCGGAGAAGGTGGTGGAGGCGGCTTATTGTTTGCATCCTTGGGTGGCAGTGCCAGTAGTCCCTTAGGCGCCCCTGGAGCCGGAGGAGGCTTCGGCGGCAGCGGTGAAGGCTTCGGAGCCGGAAGAGGAGGCGGCGGTGGCAGTGGAGGCTTCAGCTTGGGAGCCGCAGGAGGAGGAGGACACAGCGGCGGCGCTGGAGGCTTCAGCTTGGGAGCCGGAGGAGGAGGAGGACCCAGCGGCGACGTTAGAGGCTTTGGCTACGAAAGCGAAGACAGTGAAGGCTTCCCCTTAGATGGCGTCGGTGGCGGTGGAAATTTATTGTTAGGAGACGTCGTCGGAGGTAGCGGTGGCGTTGGCGGTGAAGGCTTATTCTTTGGAGGCGTTGGCGGCGGTGGAGGTAGCGTTGGCGGTGGCGAAACCGGAGGCGGCTTCACCTTGGGAAGCGCAGGTGCCGGTGGAAACTTATTCTTTGCAGACGTCGTCGGCGGTGCCGGAGGAGGTGGCGGTGAAGGCTTACTCTTTGGAGGTGGCGGTGGAGGCGTATTCTTTGGAGGTGGCGGTGGCGGTGGAGGCTTACCCTTTGGAAGCGGTGGAGGAGGAGAAGGAGGAAGTGGCGGTGGAGAAAACAACAACGTAAGAGGAGCTGCAGAATCTGGTGGACGCCGGTCGACCGGACTTGTTCTTCGCATGGGAGGACCTGCCGGAACCGGCTTAGGACCCTCCGGACTGGTTACCCTTCTCGGGCCATCTCCAAACGGTAGCCCCGTTAATGGTCATCCATTCGAAGGCTTCCACTGGAGCACCGGGATCGATCATCCGCCCCAAGGCAGCAACGCGCCCGGGTGGAGAGGCGAGGAAATGCCTCCTTTCGTAGTTCTTGCAGGAGGAGGAGAAGGAGGAGGAGGTGTTGGTGGTGGAACCGTTAACGGCGGCGCAGGCAATCGCCAAACACTGCCAACTCGCGGAAGAGTCCCGCCACCATATCCCCCCCAGCACCCGGAGGGTTCTGTGACCCTATACTTGAGCCGTGCCGCGCCCCTGGGCTCGGACCAGAACTTGCCGATGGCGGATGAGGAGCCGGCGGCGGATGAGAATAACTCCCAGCTGCGTCACCGCACTGCTCCCGTCGCTCAGGTGCCGCATGTGCGCTTCGTTCTGCCAAGATCAGCACCTCTGGCCTTTTCCGAGGACCTTAGCGACAGCGATGGCCCGGATGCTTAAGAAAAGGATACTTGAAAGCTCCTAAGGCCTGAAAGGAGCCCACAATGATCATTTTACTTTTATTTTTTCACCTTTTATGTACTTTTATGTACTATTTGATTTTGCGTACTATTATGTACTATTATGTTATATGCTCTACAAAAAACACCCTTGCACAATGACACTGAAATGCAAATAAACACACACACATACACTTAAAATCAAATTATGGGTTTTATTTTTGAAGAGTTTCAGTCAGTAGATCTTAGACCACTAACCATATCTGCCCACATAGAGCCGCATTTGCCAGAAGTCTCTGGTTTCAAGAGTCTCGTTTCTAGTGTTTAGTTTCTAGTCTCTCGTTTCGAGTCTCTAGTTTCTGGACTCTCGTTTCTAGTCTTTAGTTTCAATTCTCTAGTTTCCAGGCTTTCGTTTCTAGCCTTTAGATTCTAGTCTCTAGTTTCTGGACTCTCGTTTCTAGTCTCTCATTTCTAGTCACTCATTTCTGTCCTCTAGTTTCTAGCCTTTGGATTCTAGTCTCTAGATTCTAGTCTCTAGTTTCTGGACTCTCGTTTCTAATATCTAGTTTCTATAGTTATAGTTTTTATCCCGTTTCTAGTCATTAGTTATTATCCTCTAGATTCAAGCCTCTCGTTTGTGGTCTCTCGCTGCTATCCCTCTTGTTTCTAGCCCTCTAATTACTAGTCTTCTAGTTCCTGGACTCTCATTCCTAGCCCCTAGCTCTGTAGTTTTTGCCCAAAAATATTTCTCAAGCCTCCCAAATTCTAAGATTTGGCTAATATTTCTATGACCTTTCATTACTTTTATTTTCCAGCTAATAATTTTTAAAATTTCAAAGCCTCCTTGCTTGGTTTGCTTCCCTTACCGATTAACAAGGCAAAGCCTTTTAAAAACCAACCCCAGCCAGTCCCCCTTTTTCGGTTTCAGTTTCAATTTCAATTTCAGTTGTTGGCTTTTATTTTTTTTTTCTTGCTACTTGTTTGTTATTTTGTCTCAGCTATTTTGTAATTAGAAAAGTAGGCACTCCACCCGCTCTCCACTGACGGCGCACTTTCGCCGGCACCTCAACTACCATAGTTAAGAGCCTGGTGTTTAGACCGGCCCTGGGCCTGGGTCTGGACTCCTGATGCCAATGTCGCTGTAATCGGCTTAGAGGTGGAAACCTTTTGTCATTATAAAAGGATTTCAAGCTTGACAAAATTTCCATTTGTTGCGAGTTCGAAGGTGGCAGGGCCTCCTCTGCTTTTCGGCTTCTTTTCGGAATATAAACATATACTCCTCTTAGTTAACTTTTGCCTCTGAAATTCAAGGGTGGAGGAGGAAGAGTTTCAAGAAATTAAGATTCAAAAACCGATATTCGACCCCACTCCCCCACACAATTATAAGAGCAAAAAGGTAAGCAGGGACCAAACATTTCCAGATAAATTGCCAATCGAATCTAGATACAATGAGGCGAGTGTAAATAGTGGAAAGGCGCAGATAGGCCCTGTCTGCGTTTTCCTAATAGCACTGAAAGAAAAAGAATGAGTTTGAGGAAATATTTAAAGGCTAGATGGATGAAAAATTACTTTAAATTCTAATTTTTATTCGATTTTTGGGATAAATCTTAAAACGGAAACTTTAAACCATTTTATTTGCATTTATAAACAATAGAATATGAAATCAAAGTTCTTTACTCTATTTTCCTTAAGTGTAGAGCCTCCCTTGAAGGCCTCCTCCTCCTGCTCCTACAAAATATAAGAACCTGGAGCATCCTGGAGCATATCCTCCTTTATCCTTTCCCGACTCTCCTCAGTCGCCATGCATGGTGGCTGGTGGCTGATGGCTGACAATAGATAGACATCGACATGGACATCGAAATCGACACAGCTGGTTTGTATGTCCTGCATTATCCTTACCCCCTCCCAGGAGGTAACCCCAAGCCCACCGCTAGCACATCCCCGGCAGACTCCATCCAGGACCAGCCAGGATGGTCGTTATGGCTAATGAGTATTTTGAGGCTGATTTTTAGAGCTGGAGGGAGTCTTGCCGTTCCAAAGGGGGTAACAGGATGAAAAGGATAATTTTGAAAATAAATCCTAAATTTAAAAATATTTTTATTTTTTTTTTATAATTTTTTTTAGTTAAGAACCAAAATAATATTTCTCCTTTTTAGTTTTGACTTTTTCTGATACTTTGAAGGCTTTTCTTTTGGGGCTTTCCTCACGCCGGCATCTCAAGTGCCAAGCTTAGGCTCTCTGGCCCCTACTGACCCCTTGTCTGGGTACAGTATGCCCCCCCTAAAGTTGTCCAGCACGCATACAAATGACAATAAAAGCGAACGACTTTGGTTTTTGGATTTTGCTACTCTTTTCCGTCCAGCTCCTCCCCCCCCCGAAAATCCATTGCAGGCTTACTCCTTCGGCCATTCACCAGGACTTTCTATCCCCTCCCCCCCCCCCTTTCTTTATCCCCCGGCCCCCACTTGGAAAAGTTGAACCGCAATCGACATTCGCTGGCCGCCACACGCTTGCACAATTTTTAATCATTGCTTCGGCATTCAGAGCCGGTCCTCTCGGAGGTCTCCTCTCTTCATCCACTATCCCCTCACTATACCCCCCTCTGATCCGGCGGCATTGTTGTGAGAAGGACGAGAAGGACACATAAACATGCATGGCAGCAGGCGGCACAAACATGCACTGCGAGAAAGTCTTATAAGAAGGACTTGTGTCTTCTATTTTTGTTTTATTTTTTAACTTAAATTTTTCTAAGATTTCTTTACTTTGAAGCTCAGTTTATTAAATTACTTATAATTTTTCCTTTCTATTTTTTTTAATTTATCATTTTAAATAAATTTTAAAGCTTAAATTTTGTATCGAAAAAAATGTCAAACATGGTATAAAATCAATAATTTAATAATTATATTTTCAAAATATATAATTCCCCTTAAAAATTATATCTCACAGTGCTTCCGCAGCAGAAGCCGGTCTGGACGAAGGAGGAAGAACGACCAAGAACCCAGTTTGAAGGTATAGGGACTCCGGATAGAGCCAGGACTTGGGCTTATTGTTCGGGCTTTGGGTCCTTTATCTTGTTTCTAACTCATTGGATCGCAAAAACGGTCTCGTGTTCACCTTAATTGGGGTAAACATAAGTTCTGATTGCCCCGTTCGGCCGTCCAACCTTCAGGGTTGCAACGTCACCGTCACACACACACAAGAACCAAAGAAAGAAAAAAAAAAAAAAAAAAAAAAGAGTTGCCAGCGACATATTTCTTTCAATCCAATCGCCGACCTCCTTTGTCCTTCTTGCGTTATCCTTCGAAAGGAATTTTTAGTCCCGTTTAGAGTCAAGTCAAGTCGAGTCAAAGAGCTAAAGTCAAAGACGAACACTGAACATATCCAATTAGAAGGCAACAAAGGGTAACCCTTTTTCTTTTTTTTTTTTTCTCCCAAAGAAAAAAAAAGTTTTCGGCAAAAAGGCAACCCTATTGTTTGGGAGAGATCACAGCTTTCAGATAGAAATTGTTGAACGTGTAATTTTTATTTATTGCTTACAATTCTCTTAGAACAAATGACAGCGAAATTGAGATTGTGTGGTTGGTTGGTGGTCGGAGGGGGAGGCCTTTTTTTCCTCATAATATATACATTACCCTTTTTATTTTTATTTGTTTGTGTGTTTACCATACACAGAAATTAAATGTTCAACTTTAGGCCACACAAAGCCCCCAGAAAAAAAAAAGAGGAGTAAAAGACCCCATGTTTCCCCAAAAAACTTTTGAATTGAAAAAGCATTTTGTATATGTATGTGGATGGAGGATAAGAGTGTGCTGGGGTGTGTGTGTGTGTGTGTGTGCACAACTAAATGATGGGGAAACTATAAAAATTTCCATAACAATAATAAAAGCAAAGAAAAAAGAAGGCACTGAGCCATTGTGCGGCCCAAAACACATTTATTCATTTCAGTTTTTGGAAATTAGCATAAAAGTAAAGGCCTCTCGCTGCCAATCTCCCTCTCGTCCTGGATTTTTTTTTATTTTTGAATACATATGTAAGGATCTGCATGTACAAAGGATATTGTGGGGATGAGCCACAATCAAAGCTTGCGCTTGTGCTGAGCGGTGATAAGCGTGAAAAACGTGCAAATTTTAATAAAACCAAATGAGCCGCAAAATCATACAAAAAAAAATGTACATATATATATTTGAAACACCAAACAATAAAGACCTTGGTATGGTATCTCTGAGATTTTGGTTTTTTTTTTTTTTGTTCTCGGAGATATCTGGAAAGGTGGGTAATGAAGCGCCCTAATGTATGTCACAGTTTCTGTTTGCTAATGCGGAAACTTTGTCATTGCGGCAAGAATCTGAGAGGGGGAGGGGGGGCGGAAATGGAAAGGAAATGCTCCAAAATGTATGCTATAATTTTTATTGCACAAAGTTACTGATTTTGCTGGACAGCGATGAGAAATGGTTATTTAAAAATGAGAAACAAAATTATTAAGACTTAAAGTAAGCTTCTTTAAAGTCTCTAAAATATTTGACATAAAACCTTATAAATTATAATGCTCTTTAAAAAAATAAGAGCTTTTATTACTAAGCCTTGAGACTTAAACAACCAAACTCTAAAATAAGAATCAAAAGTAAGCAAATCCCAACCCCAAAAACCTTTGATATTTCCAATGTCCTTTTTGATATCCTTTTTTTTTTTTAATAAAAATATTCAATAAATATTATACATATCTCTTTCTACAAAATATTTATTGAAAGAACATATTCGATATATACAGTAGTGGCCACAAGTTTAGCACACTATGCTTCGCGAAACTTTGTTGAAAGATATTTTCGATTCTGCAAGGACTAGATCCTTGATTCTTTTACGTGCGGCTAGGTTATCATATTGAGAGTATCTCTGGTTGTTTTTGTCGTCCTAGCTTTTTCTGTCTTCTTGCCACAGGACCTTAAGTGCAGCAACCCCAAAAAAACGCTGGCCACAAGTTTAGCACACTTAGTAACAAATATT